GAAAAGTGTAGTTTGGGAGTTATTAGGGGTAAGATTAATAGTTCCGAGATAAAATGAAGGTTCTGTGGAGGTTTTAGATCGAAGATATTGGCTGGAATCTTGCCACCTCGTCTCAGGAAGATTCCTTATGTGTTTTTTGGATAGTAGGGTGATTGATGACAGTAGCTAGCGTAGTGGCCTTGACGCCCACATTTCCAACACGTTACTAGTCGAACAGGGTATGAGTACGGTGGACTATCGCGTGTGGTAGGTGTTCTACGTGTTGCTGGAGAGACATACATTTGTGACGACCCTTTTTGATAGAGGATTTCCTCAGCTTGACGTGCTTCTCCAATTAATCGATCTAATGAGGAATTATTCGGGACTCCGATTAAATTCATAATGTCCGGGCGCATTTTTCGATAAAAATGTTTGATCAGATCCGATTCCGTTTCAGACGGGCATTGATCTTGCCATAACGACCGAAGACGTATTAAAAAATCATTTATGGGTTCGTCTAATCGTTGACTGCACTCTTTCCATGCTTGTTCTGACTGAGCGGATCGTAAAGGCGATGTGAATTGTTCAAGAAATAATCGTTGAAACTCTAACCATGTGGGGGGAATTCGATTACTAAGACGAAGTTGGGAGTACCATTCTAGGGCTGTGCCATCCAAAAATTGGGATATTCCGCGAAGAAGTATTTCCGGAGACCAATTGTAAATAGTTTCAGTGTATTGCTGTAATTTCAGTAAAAATGGGCGTGGTTTTTCTATGGCTTTGCCACTGTAAACAGGTGCATTACTTGGGGAAGGTATAATGATCGTCTGATGTGGGATTCCCGAGGGTTCATAGCAGGAGATTGACGCGGCACGATTTGGAGAAGGGGTGACTCGAATTGCCTCCGACGGTGAGAAAACGTGGTTAGCTGCTGACTGTTGCGCTATGGAAGTACTGGTGGCTTTGAGCCTAGTGCTCTGATGTCTGCCTTCTTCACAAAGTCTCGGTCTCCCAAGATCAGCGGATTGACGCTCTTCTCGCTCCTCGTGATAAATACCACATAACCTGGCAAACTTTTCGGATAAACCGTCGAACCCTCGAGTAAGTTGGTCATCCATCTGACTAAGTTTTTCGTCTAATTGACGAAGTTGCACATCTTGCTGCTGTTGGCGGGCATGTAAAGCCTGAACGGTATTTGTAGTGTCGTCCTTGACAGTTCGAACAGCCTCGAGCACTAAGTCAAGACGATCATTAAGACGACGCAGTTCGTCGTCTTGCTGTTGCTGGCGGCGATGAAGAGTGTGTAGATGTTCTGCAACGGTAAGATCAGTCACCGTACTGTCTGGGGGCACCACCGGCATAATTTGATATGGTACAAAAATTTCGACCGCAATGAGTTCAGTATTAATCGTAAAGACAATTTTATCGGGAGAAACGGAAGGTACGAACCTGCGAGATCGCCAAGTGTGACCAAAACTTTTCTTCAAAGTTTATTTTATTCTTGAATAATACGCAGTACAACGCATGCAGATAAAACCAAACACAAAAACACCAAATAAAAACGAGGACCACTTTGTCCTTCTTCTTTCTTATTTTCTTCCTTTCTTTTTTCTTCTCCATAACACACCACATATATATACCCATTTCTAATGTGTGGGTGTAGGAAGTGACGTAAGAACTGATAACTGAATAGGAGAAATGAATAGGAGAAATATGATGTCGTTCTCTAACGGATGACGTAACCAGTGATGCGATATATGATTATGAGGAGTATGCTGTAGAATCGTTCTCTTACGGGTAACATCATCGGTGATGAGGTAAATGAATATGATAGAAGAGAATGAGAAGGGGCGGAAGGAGTATGACGTAGAATCGTTTTCTAACGGATGACGTAAGCTGTGATGAGATAGATGAATATGAGAGAAGAGGATGAGGAGGATAGAATTCTTGAGGAGAATAGCGGACAACCGTTACAACCTTCACTACATGAGTTTTCAAACTCAGATACATCGTCTGAAAGAGAGCAGAAAAAACTGGCTCTGACGATGTACTTAATGAAACTAGATGAGACTCAGATCTAAGTAAATAAAGTCCTATGTGCTTAACAGAATGAAAGATTTCACAAGGTTGCGCAAAAAAGCACCTGTTTTTAGTAGTTAGAAACCAGTGTTTCACATAATGTTAGCACAATTAGAAAATATTGAAAAGCGATATGCTATGTGTAGCTGTACTACACAATCTATTAACGAACAGGTGCAAAATAAGGATTGATATTCATAGATCCAAAACGATAATGTAGCAAACATTTACTCAGTGAGCAAACTGCTTAAAAATGTCGACTCGCTATATACATTAATTAGTGCTAACTGCTGTATCAGTTCTGTATTATTATAAAGTTTTGAAGTCTCTTGAGAGTGATCGCGATCTCGACACAATTTGCCTTTTCTTTTCTGCCACTGACTGCAATAGTTCAATTCAAAGAATTCTACTACTGTTTATGTGATGGTGTATTGGTTTCGTGTCTTATCTTTTTTGTTTCTGGTATAACTTATGGTTACCTAGATATACCTAAATTTTATTTAACAATTCTTCTGATAGTTAAT